GGAAGAGGAGGAGGAGGAGACCAAAGAGGAACAATGAGAAATACGAGTCGGAGGAAGATGATGCTATGCACTGACGAGGAGGAGGAGGCGGAGGAGGAGGCGGCGGATGAGGAGGAGGAGGACGAGGTGAAGGTTGAGAAGGAGGAGAAGGAGGAGAAAGAGGGGAGGAGGAGGAGGAGTAAAAAAAAAAGAGGAGGAAGGAGGAGGAAGGGATGGGAGGAGGAGTGAGGAGGAGGAGGAGGAGGAGAGGATGAGGAGCGAGGAGGAGGGGAGTGAGGAGGAGGAGGAGGAGTGAGAGGACAGAGCAGGGAGGGGAGGAGGAGGAGGAGAGGAGGAGGAGGAAGATGAGGTGGAGGAGGGAGGAGGAGGAGGAGGAGGAGGAGGAGGAGGAGGAGTAGGAGAAGGAGAGGAGAAGGAGAGGGAGGGGAAGATGAAGGCGGTGAGGAGGAGGAGGAGGAAGAGAGGAAGAGGACTGAGGAGGAGATGAGAGGAAGAGGACAGAGGAGGGTGAGGAGGAGGATGAGGAGGAGGAGGAGGAACATGAGGAGGAGGAGGAGGAGGAGAAGGAGGCGGAGGACTGAGGAGGAGGAGGAGGAGGAGGAGGAAGAGGAAGAGGAGGAGGAGGAGGAAGAGGAGGAGGACTGGGAGGTGGAGGAGGTAGCGGAGGAGGAGGAGGAGGATGAGGAGGAGGAGGAGGAGGCATGAGGTGACCCACAGAGTTCGGTGATCCACGACCGCTTGGAAGTCTCATCCTTAAAGTGTTGAGTTTGTGTGGTGCAATAGGTACTCGCATGGGAAAAGGCCGGGGTCGTATAAGGCAATAGAGTGTGGAACTCGAGCCCAGCGCAAGTAGAAACGCGCCGCATTCGAGGGATAAATCAAAGGCGGGACCGCCAGCATTTCCGCTGGGGGTCTATACCTCTGTTGTACGAGTGTGAAGTGGAAGCAGGACCGCCGGCATTGCCGCCGGGCTGTCCCAGAGGTCGATACCTCTGGTGTGCGAGCGTGGAATGAAGGCAGGACCGCCGGCATTGCGCCGGGCTATGTCCTGGAGGTCAGTGCCTTTGGTGTGTGAACGTTGAGTGGAAGCAGGACCGCCGGCATTGCCGCCGGGCTGTGTCCTGGAGGACGATGCCTCTTTGGTGTACGAGTGTGGAGTGAAGGCAGGACTGCCGGCATTGCCGCCGGGCTGTGTCCTGGAGGTCAGCACTTCTGATGTGCGATTGGGGGTGATAGCAGGACCGCCGGCATTGCCGCCGGGCTGTGTTCTGGAGGTAAATACCTTTGGATTCGCGCGTGGGATGGCAGCAGGATCTCCGGCATTTGCTCCGGGCTATGTCCTGGAGGTCAGTGCCTCGGCTGTGCGTGTGTTGAGTGGAAGCAGGGTCGCCGGCCTCGCCGCCGGCTGCGTCCTTGAGGGCGATGCGTCTATGGTGTGCGAGTGTGGAGTGGAGGCAGGGCCGCCGGCATGGTCGCCGGGCTGTGTCCTGGAGGTCAGCACCTTCGATGTGCCAGTGGGATGGCAGCAGGACCGCTGGCATTTGCGCCGGGCTATGTCCCGGAGGTCAGTCCCTCTGGCGTGCGAGTGTTGAGTGGGAGCAGGACCTCTGGCCTCGCCGCCGGGCTGTGTCCTGGAGGACGATGCCTCTATGGTGTACGGGTGTGTAGTGAAGGCAGGACTGCCGGCATTGCCGCTGGGCTGTGTCCTGGAGGTCAGCACCTCTGATGTGCGATTGGGGATGAAAGCAGGACCGCCGGCATTGCCGCCGGGCTGTGTTCTGGAGGTAAAAACCTTTGGATTCTCCGGTGGGATGGCGGAGGAGGAGGAGGAGGAGGAGGAGGAGGAGGAGGAGGAGGAGGAAGGAGGAGGAGGAGGAGGTGAGGAGGAGGAGGAGGAGGAGGAGGAGGAGGAGGAGGAGGAGGAGGAGGAGGAGGAGGAGGAGGAGGAGGAGGAGAGGAGGAGGAGGAGGAGGAGGAGGAGGAGGAGGAGGGGAGGAGGATGAGGAGGAGGAGGAGGAGAGGGGGAGGAGGAGAGGAGGGAGGAGGAGGAGGAGAGAGGAGGAGGAGGAGGAGGAGGAGGAGGAGAGGAGGAGGAGGAGGAGGAGGAGGAGGAGGAGGAGGGGAGGCGGGGAGGAGGAGGAGGAGGAGGGGAGGAGGGGAGGAGAAGGAGGAGAGGAGGAGGAGGAGGAGAGGGGAGGAGGAGGAGGAGGAGGAAGGGAAGGAGGAGGAGGAGGAGGAGGAAGGATGAGGAGGAGGAGGAGGAGAGGAGAAGGAGGCGGAGGCTGCGGAGGAGAGGAGGAGGAGGAGGAGGAGGGAGGAAGAGGAGAGGAAGAGGAGGAGGAGGAGAGGAGGAGGAGGAGGAGGAGGAGGAGAGGAGGAGGAGGAGGACCGGGAGGTGGAGGAGGTAGTGGAGGAGGGAGGAGAGAGGAGGAGGAGAGGAGGAGAGGTAGGAGGAGGAGGGGAGGAGGAGGAGGAGGAGAGGAGGAGGGTAGGAGGAGGAGGCAGGAGGAGGAGGAGGAGGAGGAGAGGAGGAGGAGGAGGATGAGAGGAGAGGGGAGGAGGAGGAGGAGGAGGAGGAGGAGAGGAGGAGAGGAGGAGGAGGAGGAGGAGGACGAGGAGGAGGAGGAGGAGGAGGAGGAGGAGGAGGAGGAGGAGGCGGAGGCGGAGGCTTGATGATGAGGGACAGAAGCTCGGCCGCGCGTGCGGCAGCCTCCCGAGAGGAGCTCGGGCGCCTGCCGGGCGCGGCGGGCAGCCCGCTGGCGCTGGGCGCGGCGGGCGCCCGCCTGGTGGACCCAGACGGCATCGTGCGCCGGGCGGCCGGGAGCCTCGAGACGGGGGCCAATGCAGATCTGTGCTCAATCGGTGGCGAAGCGTCCTGGCGTGCCTCTAGGCCTACCAAACAATGTTCTAAGAACCTTTTGTGGCTTCCACGAGATGTTCTTAGAGCATTCATGGCCGGGGCTGTCTCGTTCTATCACAGCGGGCTTATGTTGTAAGAGCATTGTACTTGTTCTTAGAACATTTCTGGGTTCTAAGGACATGTCGTGGTAGGCCTATAGGAATGCTGGGACGGTCGGTCCCTGCTTAGAATGCAGACGGGGGTCAGCCAGTTCTGCAGATCTTACAGACTCCTGCGGAGCCAGGGCTGCACTGGCCCGGGCTGGCGCGCGGGATCCTGCAGGATCATGCAAAGCCCTTGGTACGGGTGTGGACTGACCGCGGCCAGTGCGTCCCCGAGGCGGCCCTCTCCGCGCTGGTGCGGCTGGCGGCCGGCACGGCCGCCGCCGAGGGCGGTTGGGCCCACTGAAATCGCCACGAAGAACCAACTCCTCCTCCTCTTCCTCCTCCTCCTCCTCGTCCTCGTCCTCGTCCTCGTCCTCGTCCTCCTTCTTTTCCTCCTCCTTTTCCTCCTCCGCCTCCTCCTCCGCCTCCTCCTCCTCCTCCCGGAAGAGGGCGAGTTGTGACAGCGGTGGTTAGGCTTTGGTGGGGCCACTTGTCGCCATGGTCGTGCGCAGCTCAGCAAACTGGAAAAGTGTTGCGTTTGGACCCCAGAAAAGGGGTCTAGGGACCATTTGTTCAAAGTTTTTTTAGAGCTGCCGTTGTCTCAGATCGCCCTCCTCCGAGGTGCGACCGGCGTCCAGCACGGCCGCCGCCAGGGGCGGTCGGGCAACCCTTAGGTAGGGCATGTCCCTCTACAGGGGGAAAATTGACACGTATGAGCAATTTGTCAGGGAGTGATTTGTCAGTTCCTTTTGACCATGTTTGAGCACTTTGGGACTATTCTTGATTTTTGTTCTTGCGAAGTCCGCCTGTAGGAGGACATGCTCGACCTAAGGCAACCCTGCCATCGCCATTGAAGGAATCGGCTCCCGAGGGGAACGGGCCCCAGTTTCGTGAAGACAGACTCGGCCTGCGGAGTTGCATGGCTGGCACCCTTTCCGAGGGGGGAGGAGGAGGAGGAGGAGGAGGAGGAGGAGGAGGAGGAGGAGGAGGAGGAGGAGGAGGAGGATCGAGGATCGAGCATCGAGGATCGAGGATCCAGGATCCAGGATCCAGGATCCAGATCAAGGATCAAGGAGGAGGAGGAGGAGGCTCTGACTCTGGTCCTAGGGTAAGGCCCGGAGTCCAGGACCCGTTTCCCACAGGACCCGTTCCTTTCTCGCCACCCACCAGAACCAAGCCATCCCGAAGGCCCCACAAGTTGCCCTGTATTCCCAGTCGAAGGGGGGGGGGCGGTCGGGGAACGTCGAACAGTCACATGCGGACCTCGTGCCCACCCAACCCGAGACTTGGGTCTTCGGGTTGGGCCGGTGTGGTCTGGTAGGCAGCCACTCTCATGCTAGCTGTAAGTCCGGCGTGTCCCTCTACAGGAGGAAAATTCAAGAATAGTCAACAAGAGTCATATGGGTGGGCGGTTTCTCGTGCCCTTTTGGTTATTTTTGAATCATGTCTGACCAGTTCCTGCCTTTCCTCCAAAATCCGCCTGTGGCAGGACACGCCCGACCTGATGCCAGCTGATGCTCGCAGCCGGCGGCCAGCACGGCCACCACTCTGGGGCGGTCGGGCCCCCCTCCCGTCGAAGGGAGGCAGAGGCAGCGCCGAGGAGGAACAGCTGCCTCAGATGCTCGCTCGGGGGACCCTCCTGGGGCCCACCTAATTATCGGATCTGTCGGACCCCACTTCGACTCAGGTTCGGCTCAAGGTCGACGCGAATCGACGGACGTTCGACGCAGCCTCGACGCACGAGTGGAGCGAGTGGCTCCGGGAAGGTCCCCAGAATGAGCAGCCAAGCAGCCAGACATCGGTCGTTGGAAGTAGGTATTTCTGGATTCCCAGATCCCAATCTGCTTCCAGCGCCTTCCTGCTTCAATTATCGGCATGGTTCTGATGTGTTTTAGGCCTGAGCCCGATCTGCTTGATCCGCCTGCCTACTTCATGATTCGACCTACTTCTTCGGACCGCCGCGTACCCCTGGGCCTCCTGGTAGGACCTTGTCGGCACAGCTGGATTCGCGAGTGGGTCTGAGAAATACAACACTGTATGAACCTGTATGAACCTAAGTATTCGGCGGTCCGCGCGGATTTCTTGAATCTGCGCTGGGTTCCCTGGCGGCGCCTCTGGCGCCGCCGCCGAGGCCCTTGAAACCCAGATGCTCGACGACAGTCGTGTTTTCAACCGCGCTCCACGCTTTCAGTGCCTGCAGCCTTGGCTTCAGCCCCTGGGTGTGGTCGTGGTGTCGTCAGGAAGGAAAAAACACACAGACACAATCCATCGTCGATTCCCCAGAAGATATTGGAAAACAGGGAAAGTGTGGGGGGGAAGACAAATACCCAGAAAATATGGGGAAATATGGCATATGGGGAATCCTATTTATTTGTGTGTCCCAGGGCCCCTTCATGTCGCTCCGCGTCCACTGCCAGATCGCCCCAGAACAGGCTGGCCACCCCGGCCGCTCCTCCTGAAGCTCTTTTCGCGGGGAGTGCCCTCCTCCCCCGTTTGCTTTCTGCGGCCGCCTCCTTCCTCCTTCCCTCCCCTGCTGCCGCTTAGTTCGTACGCCGTGCGTCCTCGGCTACTCACGCGCGCGAGCGGATCGCTTCTGCCGCGCCGCGACGTAGAACAGATGCGGGTCCCACTTGCGAATCGCGGCGTTTTTGTGATGTTTGTCATTCCAGCTTCGGGTGCCTCTCCCGGGCCCCGGGGCCATCCGAAGTGGGCACGGGGCGAGCGAGAAGCCGGTCCCGGGGAAGGGCTCTGTGGGACCTATGGAGCCGCGCGTGGCACAAGTCCAGGCGCCCTCAGAGCCTCTCGGGGCAGCCGGGCCCCCTGAGACCAGGACACTGCAAGCCAGGGCTTGGAAGCTGCTCAGGAAGAGAATGAGACGCCATGAGATGCCAATGCCGCTGCCCTTCCCTCGTCGACACGGCTGGCTTCGCTTCGGGATCCAGGTCGTAGCGCACCCCTGGACGGGTCTGTGGAGCAGCGGTGCCGGCATCGGTTTCCCTCCCCAGGCCCAGCCGGGGGAACGGGGGATGGAGGACGTTTCGGCCCACGTCTGCAGTTTTCTCGGGCGCGCCGATGCCCTGGTTTATCACAGCCCCCGTCTGCGGGACCCCGAGGCAGCCTCCAGCACGCGATGGGGTGCCTGGGCGACCCCGACGACAACGTGCGCGTGGTTGCCCTGGCTGCCGTCGCGGAGCTCCCCAGATCTCGAGCGCATTGGTCAAGAGTCAAGGCGGCCTCTCTTCACCATTTTCGGCGTCTGGGGGCCTCCTCGCCAGGCCCCCAAACCGCCACAAAACGAAGATCTGAGGTCCCTCGGAAGTGGTCCAGAGTTCCAGGGGCCCCGCACCGAACAAAATCAAGACGTCGCGGGTATGGGTCAGGGGAGAAAGACACGAGTACCCATAGCGCTATGCCACTCCCTCGCCCATCGCCTCTCCTGCAAGGGGCCTTCGTCGACAGGGCCAGATTCTCCTCGGGACCCTGGCCAGCCAGCATACCCTTGTAGGGATCCGGGGAGGAGTGGCGTCGCCACAGCGGGCGCGTCAGACACGAGACCAGCCTGCCAGCAGGTGACCCACTGGACCTGCTTTGTCCCTGGATGGCCCAAGGGGGGCTCACAGCAGCTTCCTGAGGGCGCCCTGCGAGGCTCGAAGGTCGACGACACACGGGCCCCTGCGTTAGCTTCTTGCAGCAGCGCGTTTTCTTATACATCATTTGCGCGGCGTGTCTCTTGGCTTCCCCCCCACCGAGGAGCTCGCCCCCTCCGCGGGTGACGAGCGCGCCCTGGACGCCGTGTGCCCGCACCTGCGCGACGCGGACGACGACGTGCGCAAGGCGGCGGCGACGGCTCTCGGCAAGCTCGGGGCCCAGGGGGACCGGGCGAGGACCGGGCGGCACCCACAGGGGCCAGTGAAGGCCAAGCTGTACGCATAGCGACTGCCCCGAGGGACCCCCTGCGCACCGACTCCGGTGCCGAGAAAGTGCCAGGACTGCCACGCTTCTCCGGCCGTGGCACGCACAGTGGCCGCGGGTGGAGGACTGCGGAGGACCGAGGAGGACCGAGGAGGACCGAGGAGGAGGAGGAGGAGGAGGAGGAGGAGGAGGAGGAGGAGGAGGAGGAGGAGATGAGGAGGAAGAGGTGGTGGATCTGCACGAGTGTCCGATCCCACAGAGGGAGGTTGGCGCGAGGGGGGGCGGCCTCCTGAGAAGGCGGGGTTGGGGCGGGGCGGGGCCCGCACGAGTGCAGGTGGCTCCCGAGAAGGGCCAGGGCCCCTCTGGCGCTTCTGGGGGGGCCTTTCTCTCGGGGGCCCCCAAGCGGGGTGGTGACGACACCGTGTGGTGAGTCGTTGGGGACAGCACGGTTTGGGGGCTCGGGTTTTGGGGCTCGGGTCGTTCTCTGAGGACGTTTCGGGAGACTGGGGCCTCCGAGGTCCCAGAACCGTGCGTTGGACCGTGCGGTGAGGTCTTGGGGGATTTCGAGGTCACCGCAGGGTCTGTCACTGCACCGTTTCGGGACTCCAAACAGGAGCAGCCACGGGATAGCCCCTAGCAGTCAGAGAGACAGTTGCCCAGACCCCCTCGCGTTGTGAACATATCTAGAAGGGCCTTTCCGGGCCCTGGGGCCGTCAGAAAAATCGACGCAGGATACAAAACCAGTCCCCGGGAAGGGGTCCAGACCTCTGGCGGTCGACGTTGTGGAAAAATCGCGGCGTCGGGGGTCAGGGTATCGGGTTTGGAGGGTGGCGCCAGGAGAAATGATGATATCATCCATATTACCGCGTATGTTGAAGGTGCATAACATCGAGGTTTGTTCGGGGAGGGCACCCTCATGTTCTTTGCGCTTGTCGGATGTTATTGTGCATCCTGGGGGAGGTGCCCTCAAATGCTCTTGACTTTGGCTGGTGGATGGTCTCATGTTCTCGAAGGATGTTCTTCTGTCCTAGGTCCGACTGCATCTTCCCAACCTCGATCATCCCAACCTCGATCTTCCTTCCCAACCTAGGAGTTATAAGTTATAACCTATATCTTCCCAACCTCGACAGCGAGCCCAGGGGGAAGTGAGAAGGGGAGGGCCTTCTCAGAAGGCTCGGAAGTCCCCTGGTCTTCTGAGAAGTTTCCTCAGCCTTCTCCAGCGACACGAACAATTTCTGAGCAGGCCGGAGCGCTTCTGAGAAATCCCGCCGCCTCCTGAGAAGGCCTTTTCCTTCTCGCTTCCCCCCTCGCTCGCCGCCGACAACCCCTTCCTCCCAACACGATCATTGTCTTTCTCAAGAAAAAGCGCCCCAGCCTACCCTCAGAAGGGCCGCCCTCCTCGCGCCGCTCCCACGCCAGAGGATCGAGAACCCTCAGGGTGGTGGTTGGGCCTTCGCTCCTCAGAACGGGGGCTTCAGATCCTCCAGGGCACGGAGGTTCTCGATGGGCAGGTCAACGGGTTGCGCACAGGCGGCCCCCCGGGCAACCCCGGGGCGGTCTCAAGGCGGAGCGCCCCAGGGGTGCCGCCAGAGGCGGCGCCAGGGTGCTGAGACCGCCCTGGGCTGCTCGGGGGGTCTGTCGAGGCCAGCCCGGGCGACCTCGCGTGGCTGTCTGCGCGCTGCCCAAAGCCTTGCCAAGCGAGAGCCTCGATGCCCGCGCGCGCCGCCGAGAGGATGGCCCTGGTGGGGCCCCTGCTGGACGACGATGACGAGGGCGTGCGGCGGTCCGCCGCCCGGGCCTTCGCGCGGCTCAGCCCCCTCGGCGACGCGGCGGCGATCGCCCGGCTGACTGGCGCCCTCCGGGGCGAGGACGAGCCCGAGGTGAAGAGCGCGCTGGCCAGCGCGCTGGCGTGGGTGAGGTCGGGCGGGGGCAGCTCGGGGCAGCCGGCCGCGCCGTGAGGGCCCCGTTATGCTCTTCCTCCTCCTCCTTGTCGTGTTCCTCCTCCTCCTCCTCCTCCTCCTCTTCCTTCTCCTCCTCCGTCCCTTTTCCTAATGTATGTATGTGTTGTACACTTTTTCAAGCCGACGGGGGTGGGAAAAACATCCCTTCACCACCAAAAAAACTGACCCCCCAGGATCTGTGGCCCCGAGGGCCCCCTGGACGCCCCTGCAGTTGCCCCCCCAGATTTTTTCAGAACACCTGGAAACTCCTGCTGGGCATAGGTAACACATCGGTCAGGAGGGCGGCCGAACGCCCCCCCCTTAGGGCCCCAAGAGGCAGCAGGTGCAAGGATGGAGGGTGTTCTTAAATTACGGCTCTCGCTCTAGAGTGCACATTCGTTTTAAGTGTCTGCACCATGCTCAGGAATGGAGGGCGGCTCCCTTTCAAAAGGCGGTTCTCGCTCTAGCGCCGCGCACTCGTTTTTTAATGTTTGCGGCAGTTTCGCGGATTCGAGCGGTTGAAGTTTCAGGAACGGCGTTCTGGCATTTTTTGGGTTGTCAGGACGCAACAGTCACGTGGATTCGCTGTGTTGAAGTGACAGCAGTGATGTTCTGGCACGGTTTACGATTGTCAGGACGCAACAGTCACGTTGATACGTGGCGTTGGCATGATAGGATATTCTCAGACGGGTATCTTCCAAAGGGGCATTTCCCGCAATGCCGCTCAATTCTTGTAGGGACCTATGAAGGGGGAACTCTGAGGGAGGGTGTATTGCAACATCTTTGACGCGTCCTCCTCCTCCTCCTCCTCATCCTCCTCTTTCTTCCTCTTCCTCCCTCCTCCTCCTCCTCCTCCTCCTCCTCCTCCTCCTTCCTCCCACTCCTCCTCCGCCTCCTTCCCTTGGGTGGTCAGGCTGTCGCTCCGTCGGATTTTATGTGTTTGGCTTCGGGAGGCCAGAAGATTTACGACTACCTTGTGGTTTTACTGGGTTGTCTAAGGGGATCCGTGCTGTAAGTGTTCATCGTCGCGCTCCGGTGTCTTCTCACGATCCCGTTTCTTCAAATGTCTGCCAGCAGTTGCACAGCATTGCTTCTGTTTCGCAAGCCTCCACCGGTGCCAGAAGTTGTGACTGTAGGCCCAGTTTCTTGCCCACCTGACTGGAAAGAGGTTCTCACGTTGGCTGGAGAGGCGTATAATTGTGCTCGTGGGGTTCGTGGGATGCTAACCAAGGGTGCCTCAGCTGTACCGCGAGTAGGCGAACAATGTTCAACGGGAGTTGGCATCAGCGTGGCAGGTGGAGTTGCCGAAGTACGGCTGCAGAGGAGAGGGACCCAGAGCCTGGTGGCGCAGCACCCATCCGGTCGACAGGGAGCCTGCGCGTCACCATGTTCTTTGTTTCTGCGCGCTGGCCGCATCAGGCTTTTCGCTCGTGGACGTTCGAGTTCAGGGGGACAGGGCCTTCAGGACGAGAAGGCTGGGGTTGCGTCGGCTTGTCGTGTGCTGAGCTCCGCCTCCTCGCTCCCCAAGGCCAACCTCAGGTGCACCAGCGGGGATCTTTACGCGGCTATCTTGGGAATGGTCAGTGCTGAGGCTCAGGACTCCGACCGGGGCGCTAGCTTGTTTTACACATTGGCTTGCGCCCTGTCTTCGGCCACGCTACAGGCTTGGTAGGAGTCTGAGGCTTCTTGGACGGAGTGGTTGGCCAGGAACATCAAGGAAGGAGGGAGGAATGCTCATCTGTGGACCCGTTCCGTGGATTGCTAGACACCCAGGTCCATATTGTCGGCGGCAGGACAAGTGCTGGCAGACCCTTGTGCTTTACTTGAGGCTGAAAGCGGGCGTTTCTAGGAGCTTTGGATGGCAGACTCGGACCTTTCAGACTATCAGCTGGAGGGTGACTTCCAGCCGTCCGAACCACTACCTCGTGCACCTGTAGAGGTCATCAGAACTGCCAGCAAGGGTTGTTGACGTTGCCGCTGCAGATTCCGCTTGTGATGCTGGTGGTGCTCCCTGAACCCATTGGGGGGGGCTTCGTCCGACCGGCATGTTCACGGTCGCCGAATTGTACTGTGGGGGAGGTGATGAGATCGTATGCGCTACAGTGGGAGGAAGCGAACTTGTGCTCGTTCTTCTCATGCCATGGTTTCAAGTCTGCCATTGTGTGGTGCCTCAAAGTGAATTTTCGTGGAGGTGGCTACGCGGCTACCATATTGTTGGACATGCAGCATGCAATTTGTACGAACTCATGGATCTGGATCATTTAGAGTCTCGTTGTGATTTGCTCGGTTTTCCCATGGTGATCATTCTGGCCTCCCTGGCTGCTTATCGTAGTATTAGATCCATCAACATAGCGGGATGCATCGACGGGCCTCGCATGGCCGTCCGTGGCGGTGATTACTGGGTGGAGTCTAGCTTGTACGCATGTCAGAATATATGATGTGCAGAGCTTCAGCTACATCAGATTATGCTGGGGGGGCTCCGGGGACCTTTTGATCATGGATCTCGGGCTGCTTGCTGCAGACTCGTTTCAACTGGTCCTCGACGGGTTTAATCTACGCAAGTTGCTTGTGCTGATACGGACGAGCTGAAGTGCGTCCTGGCCCCTGACAAGGCGGCGTGTGTGGCGAGCGTTGGCACCCTTGGCCAGAATCTGGAGATATCTGGAGGCATGTGGGTGCTCAGGAAAAGTCTAAGGAGTCAGCTACAAAATTGGGGGTCGACGATACGGCGGGGAAGTGTCGACGGATCCCTGGGCGTGTAAAAGAAGCGACCCAAGGATTTCGACGGCCGTGTTCCTCGGATCCAGCAACAACGTTTCTGGGGGATCTGTTTCCATGAAGATGTTCATCAGCGTGCCCCCATCCTTCTCCTCCTCCTCCTCCTCCTCCTCCTCCTCCTCCTGCTCCTCCTCCTCCTCCTCCCCCTGCTGGGCTCTGCCACGGTGCCGAAGTGCACGGCGCCAGCGACATCGAACTGGCGCGCATCCGCACTTGCTGCAGGCCGCTGCGTCCATCCAGCTTTGCGGGGGCAGGTCCCCCACGGCGGCAGGGATTCCTGCAGACGAGCCGCGCTGGTGCGGCATGGCGGTTCTGATAGCTCTGTGGGCGAAGCAGATTCGGGCTGCGCACTGCCATGCGTACTCATGTGTGTGTGTGTTCAGGCTGGCTGAGTTGTGCAGGATGTGGTCATCGCTGCTTGGAGGCCCATCTCCCGCCTCGTGGCGACGAGCGAGCGGGTCTGTCTCAGCACTGGACGTGGCAGTCCGTAGGCTTGGGTGGAGCATGAAGATATTTGCAGCGCCGATCGATCATACATGTTCTGCGGAATGTTTGACGCTTGGTAGCCCGACTTTGCTTGAAGAAATGTAGCAAAGATGAATCATCAGGGCTCTCGGAATACCCGCTGCGGGGAAGTTAAATGTAGGATGGTGTCGAGCATGCTCCGATATCGTCACGGCCTACTGCCATTCATCCAGATGCACCCCCGTGGAGTCTGGGACTAGCCTGAACCTGGCGCGCGGCGGCTGCCGGGCGGCTGATCGGGCGAGTTCTTTGGGATGCCAATTTTCTGGAGATCAGTTGTTTTGTCCTCTGTGAAAACAAGCCTAAGATTCAGTTGACCATCGGCTGTGTCATTGCAGAGCTTGTCGATACGAGCGAGCTCCACTTTGTCTCGACCTTAGTGATCGCTCAAGCGCTAGGTCCTTTGCCTGAATCGGAGATGGTTATGGTTACTCTGGGTTTGTTCGATCATCCCGAAGGTGAGTGGCCCGATCTGTTGACCAGTGGGGGCGCGACGATCATGGCCGAGGGAGACGAGTACGACTTAGGAGGAATTTGAAGTAAGGCCTTCATGGACTGAAGCTGTTTCAAACCTCCTATCCCAGAGTTGTCAGTGTTGGTTGGGGGTTTGCGTTGTTTCAGATCAGGGTCAGCTGCGTTGCCTTACTCACAGTCCAATTTGCACCCCTCAGTGCAGACGGCGCCAGCGGCTGAATTCCCAGCTCCTTGGCAGGCCTCTCTGCGCATCGGCGGCGCACGTGACGTGTGCAGCGACATGCCAGGCTGCCTGCACCTACGTGGTTTTGCCAGCGAGCGCCTCTCCTTCAGACGCAAATGCTGGACGCCTACAGTACATAATCCTGTGCGCTGGGATTCGAGGTGTTGCGGAAGTGAAAGCGCACCTGGACCCTGAGGAGGAGGGGTTGGCTGAGGGGCTGGGCAACGGGCGCGCGGACCAGGCCTCTCAGCAAGGAGCCTTGTCGCACCCGTTCGCTTCAGCGCGTGAGCATGCCCAGCTAGATGCCAAGATCGAGGCCTCGAGGGTCGTCTGCAGACTTGCGGCGAACCTGATGCCGCCGCGGGCGAACCTCGACGCCGACGGGGTTGAGTCTGTGGCCCCCGCGCGCGAAGTCCAACGGCTGAGTTTGTATCGGCGGCGAGCGAGGGGGGAAGTGAGAAGGAGACAGCCTTCTCAGCAGGCGGCGGGACTTCTCCGAAGCCCCCGCGCCTGCTGAGAGAAGTTTTTGTCCGTGCCTTCGGGGATGGCCCAGAGAGCTTCTCGGAAGGCTGGGGCGCTTCAGAGCCTTTGGAGGAGGCCTGCTCCTTCTCGCTTCCCCCCCTCGCTCGCCGCCGATGGCAGGCCCTGGGCGCCGTGTGCACCGGCACAACAAGTGCTGGCGCTGCTCGGTTCGTCGCGCGGGGTCCGGGGGGGGGGGCCGACCGTGCGCCTCTCTCCCGGGGTCCGTCGGCTACCCAGCCGGCCTGGCCCGGACGCGGCCGACGCCAACGGCCACGGCACAAGCACGGGTCAGTGTTCTGACGACTCCGACATGTATTCCCCAATCAGTGCTTGCATTGAAGGGGTCCTAGCGGAGGTTGAAAGATTGGCGAAAGTTTCCCGCCGATTTTGGTTGCACGCTGGGCTCCCGGGTTCCCGGTTCCGGGTTCCCGGGTTCCCAGTTACTGGTTCCGGGCCGATCTCGGTGGGTTCTAGGTGCCCAGGCTCCCGGGTTCCCGGTCGATCCCCTCAGCGAAAACCATCTCCCGATTGGGGTTTTTCTCTGGTGGAATTAATTTGTGTATTTCTGTTGCGGTGCATTTCTGGATCGCGGTTTCATCTCGTTTCCTCCCTCTCGTACGCCGGACACTTCGCCTTCCTGTTGCCCCAGACAGCCGTTCGCTGGAGCGGACTGCCTCTGTCTCGCCGCCGAGGGAGAGCAGTCTGGATCGCGCTTCGTTCCAGAAGTGCGATCTGTTTGGGATGTGCAGTCGTGAGCTTACCAGAAGCGGCTGCACTGGTTCAAACAATGTGTTGAAAGGGGAACATCCTGGGCGACCAGACTCGAGTGTCGACTTTCCCCTGCCTGGGTCTGGCAATCCCGTGACGGGTGTTTCCTGTCATCTGTTGCCATTAACGATTGTTGTCGCTATCCTTTCCCCGCAGGTGGGCCTTGTTCTGTCTCAGGCGCTGGAGCGGTCTCTCAGGCTTTGAATCGTTTTCCGCCTGGCGAGTTGGCCGAGTTCGCACGCTTGCGAGATTTGCTCCGTAGGGGGGAGAAGGTGGCACGGTATTTGAGCTCTGAAACAAGAGACTGTGATTAACTGACTTCGGTTCTTCCCATCCAAGCTTCGCCATCCCAGAAGGTGTACGTCGACAGCTGTCCCATCGATGTTAAAAGATGTCCTTTTCCTTATCCTGACCCGCCCAGCCCTGACAACCAGGGAACTCCAGGACACCCGAGCGGGGCAAAGTACGTCACACCTTCCCCCTCCCCCTCCCGATTCACAGGTGCTCCCTCCTGTTCCTCCTCCTCCTCCTCCTCCTCCTCCTCCTCCTCCTTGTCCTCGTCGTCGTGGTCCTCGTCGTCGTCATCCTCCTGCGCGTCAAGTCCGAACCTCAGTTTGGCGTCGAGCATCCGAGCCTCCGTTTGGCGTTGGGCGTAGTTGTTAGCAGCATGCGCGCTCCGTCGGGATGGCTACACAGCATCCAACTTAGATCACACAGCCGGGCGGCAGGGACAACCGAGGAGCAGGTAGTAGAAGGAGGTCGAAGATGAGCTGGAGGAGGAGGAGGAAGAAGAGGAGGATAGAGGAGGAGGAGTGGGGACGACGACTCTGTGAAGAGGGATGTACTTGGTGCTGG